TGTTGTGATTCATTGACAGTCATACCTTCTGCTGTTCAACATAATGATGACTGGTAGATAATTAGTTATTAGCAGTACTGTAATTTAATTTTAGAAAGCGCAAATCTGCTTATGAATTATAAAAATTATTAAGTCCGCTAAAGCAATTAGCGGATTTGTGCTTTGGTGGGCTGGTGCCCACCACTGCTGATGTTTCYCTCCTTCACATATTGTAAGAAAGTTCAAATCTCCAGAGTCGTTGCTGTTCACTATAAAACCAGTATAATCTTCTGCTCACTGGGACTGGAAGTCTTGAACTCAGATGTTTTGTTGTTATACACAAACTTTAGGACCAAAAGAAAAAACGACAGCAGTGGTCTCCTCTCTTGGTTACCACCCACCTCTGCCTCAGGATCCCCCGGTAATGACAGTCGGCCGGGCTGATGGGCTGAGACTCTGGTGGCAGGGGAGGAAGGAGTCATCAGACAAACCCTGCTGGGCCTCGGAGGCTGCGGAAGGCAGGCGGGGCTTGAAGGAAACCCCGGTCTGGGTCAGCCCCTCCCTGAGTGGGGCATATCTGTGTGTGTTGTCCCCCAGCCCCGCTCAGAACTCCCTCTCAGCTGACTGGGACCATCAAGCTCCAACCAGTGCAGGGAGAGAGCAGAGGAGAGGAGAGCAGCTGCTGGAATCCAGAAAACCAGTCTAGAGTTTCAGTTTTTTTTKTKTTTKWGTTTTCTTTYGGAGCCATTAATGTGTCAGCCAGGRGCCACTGTGTGTCTCATGAGWCCGTGGTCCAGAGGTGACCTCAGGGATCGAAGCTTTGACCCCGTGTTTTCACAGAACTCTGGATCTGTACTGACATCATTATGACTCTGCTGGGCTCCCAACACTCCGGACTGATACGAAGCAAGTTTAGATCAGGTGAGTCTTCACACGGGTTTACCACGTCTCACACACAGGGGTCAGGGATGTGTTCAGGGACCACCAGCTTTAGGCTGTGATGCGTTCGGGGTTCGGTGAATCYTGGGATGTGAGCACGTGACAGCAGCAGGTCAGTGCACTTGTTCCACACCAGCAACCTGCTGCTGCTGAGGGAACCAACCAGGTTTCCTCGTCCTGAGAGAGGTTAGAGGTCAACTAAACATGGCTGCATTACAGACTGACACCAAACATGTTAGATCTTTTCATCAATTTAATTAAGTAAATCTAACTTTTGTGTGCATTTGTCTCGTCCGCTGCATTGTGCATCGTCTGACCAACACTGCCCCCTCCCTGAGGAAAATATTACTGATGGTGGAAGCATCTTGTGGAGGCTCGGAGCAGAGCCTTCCACTCTGCATTCCACAGATTTCAGTCTAAATGTCGCTCTTCCTCTGAGCGCTGCAGAGCACGTCGCTGTGCAGGAAATGAGCCTGAGCACTGTGGGGAATATGAAGGAGAAGTGCTGTTGCTCTAACCTGAACAACTAATGTGGAGCAGATGTAGAGACACCATCTTCAGATCAAAGTCAGAGGAGTTCACACAAAGTGTGTGTCTGACACACGGCGACCTGTTGTGTGTCAGAGAAGTGAAGTCGGCTGTAAATCTGTGCTAACTGCTAACGACAGAGGGGAGTCTGAGTCGGCGTGCCTGCGAAGGATTTACAGTTTTCTTGAAGGCAGAGTCCTGTGAAAGCTTTTCCATCACGCTTCAACAGCGTCTCTCCAGCCATGGGAACGGCTCGGCCCGACAGCCTCGGGCCGCGTTCAGCTCTGATTGTTTCTGCATCACAGCAGAGCTGCGTTCAGAAAGCCATGGGAACTGCCGCCGCTTCGTTACAGCTTCAAGGAAAAAGATAGAGATCTGGTGTCGGAGCTCCCTGCAGACTGCAAAACTGTTTTCAGTGCAGTTATTCACCCACACTTCATGCAGCACAGATAGTTTACAGTTTAACTGAGGCATCAAACACCAACAAATCATCACAACAAAACTGAAAAACTGCACACTTAGTGCTAACACACCCTGATGCACAAAGGTTTTAGAAAATGAAAGCTTATAAAACTAAAACCAACAGTAGAGGTGTCAGTGATACTCTGTATGCAAACATGTCCAGGACAGAGCTGTAAAGTAACTAAGTACAAATACTTTGTTACTGAACTTAAGTAGAAATTTTGGGTATCTGTACTTTACTTGAGTAATTATTTTTCAGTATACTTTTTACTTTTACTCATTACATTTTTACACAATTATCTGTACTTTCTACTCACTACATTTTTTAAAAAGGTAAGAAGTAGAAAGTTGTTATTACTTTAAAAAATCCTCTCCTGATAAACTGTGTCTCCTATAGAGTGAATTTAATTGTGTTTGGA